AGCACAAGAAGATTTAAGAATGTTCTGTTAAAGAATTAAGGGAAAAAATAAGATTCTAAGTCCTGAAAGCAGCATGCTATGCTTACATATGGGCAATCACTGGAATGCATTTTCCTGCAGAGACTATGTTTTGCATGGTGATTAGACCCTCAAATCAACTTGGAGAAACAAAAAGTTTGCTTAACCCATATGGTGGCTGAACTCTTTCACTCATCAAATAATCATGAAACATAGACAGTAGGTGTGTGTTAGCAGCAGGTCCTGGGGGTGCTAGTGGGTCCTTTCCTCTAAATAGCTTGCAGTATAAAGGAGAGAAAAGTCTAGTAGGTAGACAATACTGTGAGAGAGATGCTGTGAGGGGGTAAGTGTGGGTGCGATGTGTGCATGCGGAGGGGGCTTGTCACCCAGGCTTCAGGCATGGGGGAAGGGGAGGGTGGGGAGGGGGGAGGAGGCAGCAGGAAAGCCACCAGCCAGAGGGAGGTCGGCTTGAGAACTAAATTGGTAACTGAAAGATTAGTAGGAGTTAACCAGGACTAGAGGTAAAAGTCGGGGGGATAACAAAGTAAAATGGTGGTTGCCAGGGGCTAGGGGAGAGGAGAAGGGGGAATTGTTTAAAGGGTATAAAGTTTCAGTTTTGCAAGATGAAAAGAGTTCTGGTGATTGGTTGCACAACAATGTGAATGTACTTAATGCTACTGAACTGTACACTTGAAAATGGTTCAGATGGCAAATTTTATGTTATGTGTATTTTACAACAGAAAAAAAACGTTGGATAGGAGGAGATGAGAAATTGTGCTCCAGGCAGAGGGAACAGTACGTTCTAAAGCTTGGAAATAAGAGTTGCATTAGTCCAAGGTCTTTTAGTTACTAGGAAGAGAAAAGAAAAGGAATCAAAGTTTTCTTTCCCTTTCCTGGATCTAGAGCTTGCCAAGGGGCCTTTCTGCAATAGGCAGTTTGCCTTTGGCACCCCATAATGTCCCTTTCTGTACTTTTCTCCTTCCAGTGCCCCCTTGTCCATATAGCTAATGTTCCTCTGTTCATCCAAGCCCTCTGGGGCGCCCCACCAATCAAGCATGTTTCAACCCTTAAAACTCTACTTACTTCCAAATTACTCACCTCTTTTCCACCCCTGTGAGAATTTTTAGTTCCTCAGAGCACCTGTTCTCAGCTAGTTTGCAAGAAGACAGCTATCTGATTATATAAATTTTATTAGAGTGTGACAGACTATTAGCTTCTTAGAAGTATCAGTATTTTAAAAGGATGCTTTTTAATCCAAAGTAAATCTTTTATTGGTGAGGGTTTAGTGAATGAAGTGAAATTATAACATTTTAGGCTATATTTGGAAGAATATTTTGGTCTGGGGAACTACCCTGTAGCAGGCCTATATTGCTTGAAAATTTGTCTCAAGAGTTTGATTCTCCCAAACTGTTACTTTTTTCCAGCGTCTCGTCTTCTCCTTGTAATATCTCTAAAAATAGCAAATAATTTTCAGTGTTACCCACAGAAGGGTGTCTGATGCTGAGTAAGAAGAATTGGAAGGAGAAATGGGTATTCATCAGAAGCCATGTGTTTGTATGGGTCATTACCAAGTCAGGGACTTCCTAAACTCTCATACATTGTCAGATAGGAACATGCCTATTTAGAGTGATACCACTACTAACCATGCATAGTGGTAAAATGCAAGTTCCCAGGGCTCCAATTCTAGCTTCACCACTTTGTGTGACTTTAGGCAAGTCACTGAACTTCTCTGAGCCACATTGTCCTATATGAAAAATGAAGATAATAATAGGATTTATTGCATATCATTGCTGTGGGAATGAAGTGAAATAGTGAATGTAAAGCATTCAGGACAATGCTTGGCATATCAGAGATATAGAACAATGGTAGCTGTCACCACCACCACCATCATCATCATTATCATCATCATCTTCACTGGAGGGCTCCTGTTTAAAAGCTGCTCTGGCCCAGTTCTAACCAGCGTATGAGAATGAGCAGAACTGACCCTGAAATTCTTCCCACCATGGTCAGGATGTTGCCTAAGGAAGATGGCAAGGGAGTAAATGTAGAGGGCCAGACTCACTGGTATTTCTCTGCTTGCAGATTTTGAGATTGGCAAGGATATGATTGTGTCTTTTCTCCTAGTTTTGCAATCTCTGGCACCAAAAACAGTTCCCTCCACCCAGCTCTGGCTCTAGCCCTTGATATGTGGCGTTGCTTCCTGTTTCTACAGCAGGTTCTTCTTGAAGGATTCATTGCTGCCTGCCCCAAAATAAGCAGCAAGGAAGACCACACACATTTCTCTGTTAATCAAAGACTATTTTTAGGAGAGGGAAAAAGTCTCTAGGTAATCATCCTTTCCTTATGGTCTGAAGTAGAAGCAGCCTTGACTGTGGGTGGAGGATGAGCTACAAAGTCAACTTACACTCCCAGTATTTGCTGATCTCTCCATGGGGGAACCGAAATATAAAAGGAATCTTGGAAGAGGCAGAACAGGCCTCAGTCCTCCATTTAAAATATAAACCTGAGTCTTTTCCAGATAGGTTCCTAGCTTGTGATCGTGCAGGTTGAGCTGGGCACAACTCTTAAGGGGCAGTGTCCACCTCATTATCATGGGAATTGTGCAGTGTGTAACCTGTGAAACCACAGGACATCCCTGAAAACTATCCTTCCTGGGCTAGCTGAGAACAAGCATTTGGTTCAACCTGACTTTTCTTCTTTGCTAATATTTACACTCAGTCCACAGGGCTGCCCCCATATGAGTAACTCATGAGAGCACCACATTTTGCAGGCTTTCCAAGAAGTAAATCCTCTTTCCTACTTATTGATATATTTGGGAGAGTAATGTGTGTTTCTGGAGGCCTAGATATGAAATAATATGTTCATGAGTCAAATGATATAGAGAAGTAGAGGTAACTTTTTAGGGAAAAAGCTTACCTTTTAGGAGATGCTGAATGCTGGACCCTTCTACTTCATGGCTGCTATTTGAATTGACAGATTCATAGGCTGAAAAACAATAAGGGATTTTACCTGAGAGTGTGAAAAAGTCTTGAAAAATCTATTTTTCTTACCCCAGTACAGAGAAAAACATGAAGTAGATGCCTTGATGCTTAAGCCTCAAAATGAATTGGATGGTTTTGAAAATCCATAGATGCTATTCTGGAGAGAAGGCATATACAGGATTAACAAAGCATTGAAGAAGATAATGTTTTTATCCAAGATGTTTAAAGGTGAAACCCTGCAGGGTCCAGGATGCTAAAATTCTGCGAGGAGAACTGTTGACAGAGCAAGAGCAGGAAACAGTTAACATTGGACATGCTGCGAGGAGATGCCCAGATTTGAACAGCAGATGTGCCTCAGTGCACACAGCCTTGGGGACGCCAGACAAGCAAGAGGAACTCCTCTCCAGCTGTAGCACAAATACGAGGGTTGGACCAGGGAGACAGGAGGGATTCTAGCCCATCTGATTCCAGCCAAAAAGACAGACAGGCTTTTTCACAGCTCCTGTTGAATTTTTTTGCGATCTGTTAGAGTCACCTGGAGTGAGAATTATTCTCCTAGCTGTTCTTGTCAGTCAAAATGAAAACTAGTTAAAACAATGCTGATGAGAATTAGGATGGTAGACCTGAAAAGGACCATTAAGGGAGAGGCAACAGGTAACAAAGAGGTCAGTTGGGTGGGACCTAAATGAAGGAAGAACAGTTTTTTGTTTTTTGTTTTTTTTTTTGAGTCAGGGTCTCTTTCTGTCACCCGGGCTACTAGAGTGTGGTGGCATCATCATAGCTCACTGCAGGCTCAAGCAATCCTCCTGCCTCAGCCTCCCAAGTGTTCGGATTACAGGTGTGAACCACCTCCCCTGGCCATAAGAGTGGTTTTTAAAGGGAAACTTGTGTGTGTGTGAGAGAGGAGGGGGTGGGGGATGTACAGTATCAAGGAGATAGCAATAGGGAAGAAAAAGTCACAGGGAATCCTAGAACATTCAAGCTGGAAAAAATTTAGAGATCTCCTAGTCTAACTATGCACCCGAACTTATTTCCAAATAGTTCTATTTATTTATTTGTTTTTCTTCATTGTCTCATTACGATAACAAATAGACTAGAGAGGTTGCCAGAAAAGGATGTTTGGGTTTTATCATTTGCTAAACCGCGGTGGGGCTTGGAAAAGCCTGCCTCCTGGTGCCCTTCTGTCTCGGTGTGCACACACGTGGCCACGTGCACGCCGGTAACTTGGCTGAGCAGGCAGCTTGGGATTCTGAGAACCAACAATGGAGAGAGAAAAAGCCATAATTAGTGTTAATTGTTGACCCTACAGTTCAAAAATAGATGCTCTGGAGAATGGGAAATGAGAACAAACATTAATTATTGAGTAGGGACCTTGGAGACAGACACTCTGGATTAAAAGGAGAGAGATAAATTGCATAATGAATGTTAATTTTCCCTCAAAGAATTGAGTGGTCGGCGGTTGAAAGGGAAAAGGAGGCTAAAACAGTCATGAAAGAGAAACTTCAGTGTGTGTTGGGGAGGAGGGTGTGGAGCGTTACACAAACACTTTCCATTACTGCTACACCCTGGTCTTTGCCTCCTCCTTGCTCCCTAGAAGTTCCTATCTGGGTTTTCCTCAGAACTCATTATTTACTGCAGTTGTCTGCTAGGAAGCACAACCATTTCCCCTAAAGCAGCAGTCCCCAATTCTTTGGCACCAGGGACCAGTTTCATGGAAGACAATTTTTCCATGGACCAGGGGGAGGGGGGTGTAGCCAGTGATGGGGAGCGGCTGTAAATACAAATAAAGCTTCACTCTCCCACCCTGCTGTGGCTGGGTTCTTAACAGGCCACAGACCGGTACTGGTACCAGCCCAGGGGTTGCGCGGACTGCAGTCCTACAGTATGTAAGCCAGAAAACAGCCCCATTGCATCACTGACAAGCTGAGTGGCACATGACATTGAGGTCTATCTTCTATTTGTGCTGGTGGGAGTTTGAAAAGCAAGGGAGGCTGCCAGAGCTGTGGCCCTATGTGAGCTGCTGTGGGAAGGACGAGGGCTCTGGGGCCTTAATTGTTATTTTATCTTAATTACCATACACGAGACACACATGCACCCCCTCCGACAATGTAATCTTAACTGAAAGTAAAAACAGAATACAGATAATTGAGCAGAAGATCAGAGATAAGAATTGTAGCCAGTTTTGTAAAGAGACACTACAAACAGGCTCGTCACTGATTGCTCAGATTTCAGAGAGCTGGCTGAGATCCCCAAGTCCAGTCAGCGGCCCTGGGGATCTTCCCTATTTGGCATTGTCTACCTACTTCTGTTGAGGCCCTCATCAGATGCTGTCTGGGTGATTTTGCAGTAGCCTGAGCTCTCTGCCTTTTCTTTTGCCTGTTCCTTCATGTTGGCACACACCTTGGGTTGCATGACATCCCTCCTCAAACATCTGTGATTCCTCGTTGTCTAAGAAGCAGTGTTTCTACTCTCTCTTGGCACACAAGACCTTCCCTGCTCTGGCCCTGGCCTGCCTTCCAGGCCCAGCTTACCCCATGAAGCCCCTCCACAGACCACTCACACTGGGTGACTCCTCATTTCCCACATGTCCTCCACTTTCCCTCCTCTTTGTCTTTGGTCATGCGGGTCCCTCGCTGCCTGCCCCTTCTCATGCGGGTCCCTCGCTGCCTGCCCCTTCTCTGTTTATCCATCCACTTATTCTAATTTCTCAAAGGTCAAGTGCAAATGGAGATTCCTCAGTAAAAGCCCTTCCCGGTGGTCTCCTAGGCTAGAGTTAGTCACTCCTTCCCTGAACACCCCTGTCTCGTGTTCTCAGGCCTCTGTTGCAGGACTCATTTCATCCTGCCTTGTGGTAGAGTTGGTTGCTTGTGACTCTGTTCTACACATGGACTGTGAGTTCCTTGAAGGGCAGTAGCCACAATACCCAGCATGGAGCCTGGGAAAGGCGGGTGAGGAGAGAGCAGCCTCTAGGACAGACAGGCCTGGGAATGAAGCCCAACTCTGCCTTTACCAGGTAAGTTAACTCCCTGTGTTCCAATTTCCTCACCTGTGATATGTGAATGAAAATACTCACTTCCTACCATTACTGGGATGATGGAACGAGTTGACATATGTAGCAAGGTACCTGAGAGTGTTCGCTCTTGATATTAACATCCTTCCGTGTCCTTTGCACATGGTAGGTGTTCAGTATATTGTATCAAAGGAGTCAAACACACATGTAATAGGTCTTTTCTCTTTCAGGGCCAATGATATTTCCTATTGGAATTTTACTTAATACTTTACAAGATGGAACACGAGTATGATCTGATTTGATTTTCACAAAGCAATGTGAAGTGTTAATATTATTGCAGTTGCATCCTATTAAGGTATAAGGTAAGCTACTGTAAAAAAGAGACCCCAAAAGATAAACATTTATTTCTCTTTCATATAAGAGTCCAGAGTTAGGTGGATGGATAAGGGTGACTCTACTGCATGAAGTTCTCTGGGCACCTTGGTTCCTTATATCTTATTGTTCTATCATCCCATACAGGATTGTTCTCTTCCATATGGTTGAAGCTATTTCATTACCATGACCAAGTCCAAGGGGAAAGAGGAGGGTGAAGGCAAATAGTTTCCTTTTAAGGAAATGACCTGGAAGTTGCACATGCTGCTTCCATTCACATCTCATTACTCAAAACTTAGTCGCATGGCCATACCTCACTGCAAGGGAAGCTGGGAAGTATAATCTCTCGGTAGGCAGCCATGTGTTCAGCTAAAATTCAGGGTGAGGGATTCTATTAAGAAAAGGAATAATGGAAGAATGGATATTGGGGAACAATTAAAGTCTCTGCTACTCACAGTTTCAATCAATATTTATGGACAATGCTCTGGAAAGCCAATTGTGTTCTCTGGGATAGTCAGTGGTAGATGAGGGGTATCCACCCACAGGAATTTTAAATCTAGGAGAGGAAAGAAGATAAAGAGTAAAAGAGATAAGGAAGTGAGGGAGTGCCTGATACGAGGCCTAGGTGGTAAGAGTGAGTAGAACCTAAGGAAGTAGCAATCATGGTGACCACAGTGGTCAGGTAAGGCATCACAATGAAGGGGGGATTTTCCAGCTGGTCCTTGAAGCCTGGAAACATGGACAAGAAGGACTAGAGGCAGCGGAAAGAACTTTGACCTAACTGAGTGCAGGAAGACCTGGGTTTGAGCCTTGGATCTACCATATAAAAGGTGTGCGATCTTGAGCAAATCATATCCCTCTGGGCTTCAGTTTCCTTATCCATAAAATGAGAGTATTTTCAAACTGTGGTCTCATTGTTCTAGTGGCCCTGCACAGTCCCCACTCCCCACCTACAGCAGGGGAAGAGTTAACTGGGCTGTGGAGAATTTGGGAGGGACATAATTGGGTCATACCCGCTCAACCAGGTAGCTCTGCTTTTATCTGCTTTATCTATGGGTATCCTCAGCAAATCTGAGTAAATGCTTCCTTTGCTTAAATACTGATGAAGGTGAGGCCTAAGTTCCCTCCTGACTTTACGATTCTCCTAAACAGAACAAATGCAAGGGAGGTGGAATTCATAGCTTCACAAGCTGTGTAAAAAAAGATACAAGTACCAAAACCTGCAAAAAATAAAGAGAAATCAAGTATTCTTCAGGACTTCATATTGTTTTTTTCTTCGAAAAATGAATTTCTAGTAGATTCAGAACAAGCTATTACTTTTGACATTTTTCTTCTTTGGAAGTCATAAAGTGGTGATGATGCCACCTTTTCAGCCAAATATGAGGTAAGAGAGTCTTTGTATTTCTAGGCATCACAAGAGGTTTTTGTCAAAGGAAAGGAAGGAGAGTCCCTAGTGTGTTTTAGTAGCTTTCTGTTGGTAGCTTCCAGCCTGGGCTGTGAGGCCTTGCTGGTCTCACTATGGTGAGGGAAAGAACCTGCTTCTTTCTGAAGTCTGGGACAAACACAGCTCTCACAGCCTGCCCTTCTGCAACCACTTAGCGCTAAATTGGGTCTACATGTGA